AGAGAAAAAGAGACAGAGAGAGAGCAGGAGAGTGAGAGAGTAGGGGGAGAGAGAGCAGGAGAGCAAGAGAGAGAGAAAGAAAGAAATGGGAGAGAGGAGAGATAGACAGAGAGCAAGAGAGCTACAGCTCATGTAACACAGCAGCAGCAGCTTGGGGTGAGAGGGCTAGGAAGTCAAGAGGGTGTCATAGAGAGAGAGAGTGGGACAGAGAGAGGAATTGGAGAGAAGAGAGACAGGCAGAGAGAGGCAGAGAGGGAGGAGGGACAGAGGGAGGAGAGAAAGGCAGAGAGAGAGAGAGAGCGCGCACGCACATGCGTGAGCTCATGAAACACAGAGCCTGGGGCAAGAGGGCCAGGAAGTTGAAAGGGATGACAGGGTCAGAGAGCTAGAGAGGGATTGGGGGGTGGGGCAGAGAGAGAGAGAGAGATGGAGAGAGACAGAGAGAGAGGAACAGAGACAGACAGAGAAGGACAGAAGCCTGAGGCAGGAGGGCCAGGACGTCATGAGAGGGGACAGAGAAACAGAGAGAGTGGGACACAGAGAGAAACAGAGAGAGACACACACATACATGTACACACACAGAGGATAGAGGAGGGAAGGGAAATGAGGGAGGGACAGAGACAGAGAGACACACAGAGGCATAGAGACAGCAAGAGAGGGACAGAGGTGGGGACACAGAGAGAGAGAGGGACAGAGCAGGAGGGAAAGAGACAGACACAGAGAGAGAGAGTGAGAGAGACAGAAAGGGGCAGAGAGAGAGAGGGACAGGCAGACACTTTGGGCTGAGGGGCCACAGCCCTCCTGACACCCCCCAGCTGGCAGTGGGTCTACAGCGCTGGTGTCTGGGTCTCCATCACCCCTTTCCTGGCTGTTTCTTTCCACCATCATCTGGCCCATCACCATCTGGTCCCTCACCAACAGTCCCCTAAACTTTGTCTCCTGGTTTTTCTTGCTGCATCTGAGACCACATCTAATATCTACTACACACTTCGTGGTTCTCCAAGAATCTCCAATCACAGTGTTACCCTCGTATCCACTTTCCGACAGTATCATAAAACCTGGGGTGTAACTTTCTTCAAAGGCCAAAGGCTGCACCTTCCTCCAGCTCCTCACGAGCAAGGGAGGCGGAGGCCCCACCGTGGCGCCATCCAGTCCATCCTTATTAGTAGAAAACAGCTAGACCAGAGCCACCACCTGTGTCCTTACTAGAAGCTGGGGATGGAGGACCACGGTCTGCGTGCCACTGGACGTCAGGGAGGGAGGACCACTGCCTTGCATCTCACTGGAATCTGAGGGTGAAGGATGACAGGCCCCCAGCTGCGAAAGCTGGGGTGGGGGAACCCAGGTGGGACTTACATGCCCGGCTTGGCCCCAGCCATGATGACCATGCGCAGAGCAATGCGTTTGTGCAGGTTCCACTTCTCCACGGCCGCCGCCACGCAGATGACGCCCACCAGCAGCAGCGTGGTGTTCTTGAAGTACTCAGCAGCCACCTGCAGGGGTCAGCAGAGTGTCGACGACTCCCCAGCCCTGGACCACAGCCTCATCCTCATCCTGGGATCCCCACCAGCCAGGCTGGCTGGGGGATGATGCCCGCGAAGATCCAGCAGACAAGAGCATCACTCCCTCCCACCAGTGGCCGTGAAAATCAGGTATTCTTCTCCCCACTGGCTTTTTAAAAACTTAAAAACCAGAGAAGAGCGAATTGGGGGGAGTGAGAGGTGGGTAGGGAGAACAGGGAAACAATGAATAAATGAAAATCCTCAGTCTCTGTAAACTTTCATTAAAATTAATAACAATAGTGTACAAATGAAGGAGTTTGTCTTTTGCTTTTAAAGGAGAGGAGAGAACTGGGGATGGAGG